CTGGTAATTCTGTGCGTATTCAATGGCTCAGGTAAACGCATAGAATCTTGGTTAGGGACCTCGTCAAATAGGTCTTCTGTGGTGCGACCCAAAGATTTTCCTCCACGGTTCTGTAAAATGTTAATGACATTTATGTCAATTACTAAAATCAACTAATTATCATTTCTAAAGCAACTTTAGGATAAAACAAGGAATTTAAAACAACAACAACAACAACAATTCTAACTTTAACAGATGACAATTTACATTTTGTAACAGAACAAAAGTAAAACAGGAGAGAAGTGCGCTGTGCAATAAATAAACACCATGTGGAAGTCAGTCAGTCAGTCAGTCGGGTATTTCACTGACAATAGAGATAACAACAAGCCAAGACCTTATGGAGGACTTGGGCTATACACCCCAGAAAAGTTAGCAGTAATGCAGATTTATTATGTGGCTTAATGTTGACTTAGAATTGAATTGGTGGATGGTGACTAGCAGTGGAATCCAGTCCAGGATAACGCCCATTTCGTCCTATTTGCAACTCGTCAGTTGGCTGGATGTACCTGCATTTCCCAGTGAGTCAGTGATGATGTTCCCACCACGGAGGCTAAAAACCCAATGCCCATAGTTTCAAACACCAGCCAAAGCGTTATCCACTAGACGACTTGGGCCACGAGAGCCACCCCACCTCTTGTGCAACGGTTCATATTAATTATTCAATTGAATTTTAGATTTTCCCGTTGACACTTTGGCGTTTGAAACTATGGGCACTGGGTCAGAGCCTCCGTGGTGGGAACATCATCACTGACTCACTGAGGAATGCAGGTACATCCAGCAAACTGACGAGTTGCAAATAGGACGAAATACGCGTTATCCTGGACTGGATTCTACTGCTAGTCAACATCCACCAATTAAATTTTAATTAAACGCTCTTAATACATTCACTTTATCCTACTTCAAAAATATGGTGGAGATATGTGGATGACACTTTCACACACAGTGTTAAAAACACAACATATCTCCCTCTAGCTTCTTGACACATATAAACTCACTAGCAGAGGGAATAAAATTCACATTTGAATCGCAAAATAAACAAGGAGAATTAGCTGTGATGTTAGAGTGTAAAATAAAACGAATAGAAGAGGCTAAACTGCACACAAGTGTTTATAAAACACCAACGCATTCTGCTGATAAACTTTAATTCATCTCATCCGTAGTTATCTGTTAAGGCAGGCTTAGTTGACTTAAATGTCTAACAAACCGAGCAGTAGCACCAAGTAGTACAAGAAAAGACCTAAATGATGAAATAAAACAGACAGAAGAAGAAGAAGAAGTAGCGTTGGTGTCAAATAACTAACTATCCTATGAAATTCACTAGGAAGATCAGAAAAAGTGAAAAGCAAAATAAAAATAGTAGGGAAACTAATAATGATAACATAAATAAGAGAGAATATAAGGCATCTACAGCAGTTTTACCATATAAGCAGGGGACATCTCAGACATTCCCTACGTAGGATTCTCAATAGAGCAGGAATTAGAGTGGTGGCATTCAAACCTACAAACTCACTCAGCTAGGACAAGCTCTGTAGGTTAAAGGACCCTGTCGGTTGACCCTATTAGACAAAATAATATAATTTACAAAATACTCTGCAATGACTGTGAGTTAGGTCAACTACATAAGTCAAACTAGTAGATCGGGGGTAATCAGATTGTCGGAACATAAGAATTTAGCTAAGGGAAGAATGGTTGACCCCACCCGAGAAGACAAGTAATTTAGGAAAAAGTTCAGTACTACATTGCACTGCATGCATTAACACAACCATACAATGGCATGGTGTGAGAGGGTTGGAATTCTAAAAAGTAATCTAGGTAAGTGGAGAGAGAGATCTATTAGTGAATCCTGCCTGGTTCGTCGAGTCTACACCCAACCTCTTTCTCTCTATCCACCTACATAGATTACTTTTTAGAACTTTTTTTAACAAAACAAATATGGAAGACATCATTACCACCAGTCAGTCAAATCAGAGCAGCATAATAAATGATCTTAAAATTCTAATTCAATTGAACTTCATCACAGCATTCTAACAAGTTACTTATTTTGACTATAAAAACACTCCTCTTATTTCCCATCTGATTGTACTTGATTGATAACACTCATATTATTATTATTTCTGAATGTAAATTATCCTATATTACTGATTTGTATTCAAATGTCTAATCCTGAATTCCACACATGTATATAAATGAAGGGTCTCTAATTCCCATCTCCTTTGTTCACTAAAACAACTGGATAGTTATACGGGCTGTCAGCTTCTTTTTCTCTAATACCATCCTGCAAAGTCTCCTCAATTTAAATGTCTCTCTACCTCACACCCATAAATATCACCTCCACGATTTCACGAGTAGTTGAATCGATTGAAAACAATCAAATCAGTCAGTATTTACTCCCTAATAACACATTTAGGCTTAAGCATTTCAAACAAAGAGTACTGGGTACCAGTCACAATGACAACACCACACACAACCACTCACAGGAGATTATTGCAGGTACATCCCGTTGGCAACTCCCGTACCAAAAACATTCAAGTGCCATCCATCAAATTACACACTTTTAAGTCCGGATAATCTTCACCTCTACATACACTCACTACCCAGTAATTAACCTCATCCATCCATCCTCTCTACGATTATAATATTATCCTACCTGCGAATGAATCTTCAGAACACATTCATTCGATAAAACAAACATATTATCTATCTTCAATCTGATTTCACCCACCCTACTCATCACCGGTTGGTTGCGTAAAACTTCGTGATATGTACAGCGGCGGAAAAAGGGAAACAAACCAGAACTTACAATTTCATCTGTGGGGGGGAGTTGCCTTGCTGTCTCTTCATTAATGTCATTAGGTCTGACCTGAAAAAAGGAAAGAGACGAAGAAGATGCAAACGTCAGTACCCAGGGATCATCATTACAACTTCAGACAGCTTCGATAGTCTCCACGAGTAAGCATTTGCCAAGTGACACTGAACAACCAATCATGGTAAAGCTAGTATATATTCTATGCCAAACTTTCTCTTCACATACTTCAAAACATTATAAATATCTAAATTCCGTACAACTGCAAAACTGTTAAACCTATTTCTATAAAATACAAAATAAATGAGCCAGAAAAGAATATCCTTTTCGATAACTTCCTCCTCTTCTCGCTCTACAGTTATATATATATATATATGCATGTTTATTTATATACATAGAATATTCTAGATTAGTAGTCAGTAACAATATTAGTGTTTTTTAAATAATGTCGATTTGCAAAGTAAGATCACAATGGAATCACCACAGTTCATTAAAGATGCTTTAATAATAATAATAATAATAATAACAAAGATATAGTTGCAAATAGAATATCAACTAAAATTAGGAAAATTCCACTGCCTCCACAGGCCAGTTACATAGGCTGTACAATTAGGCGTGTTTCTCGTCGAATCTCAGAACATCACCCTCCATAGTGAGTGGTTAAGCAAAGGACAAACAAAATCTATTCGCAGCGCTATTCTATCTCATCTTGTGGATACAGAACACAAGACTGATTGATGTTAACCATGCTTTCAGGGTAATTTACCGCATACCTACGAACCTCAATTTCGCCTTAAGAGTTCCACTGCTAAATATTCCCGAGGCTGGCCAATGGATCCAGAATAACAGGCCTAATTTGTGCATCCAAAAGAAGTTGGTTGGTTCAGACATTATCCTTACCGCTTGGCTATCCAGGTTTGAATGATCCTGAATTTTAGTTGATATTCTATTTGCTACTACATCTTTGTTATAATAATAATAATAGTTATTATAATTATTATTATTATTATTATTATTTAAGCATCTTTAATCAACTGTGGTGATTCCATTGTGATCTTACTTTACAAATCGACATTATTTAAAAAGCACTCTTATACTGTTACTGACTACTAATTTAGAATATTCTGTGTATATAAACATGCAGATATATTTGTAGAGCCGGAAGAGGAATTTATCGAAGCGAATATTCTTTGCTCGATTATTTCGTGTTTCATAGATGTCTGAATGAATATTTTTGCTATATTGAAATCTATTTCTAGTTAACCGCAGCACTAGACAAAGCAGTGTTTTACCGCTATTTCCAATATGCTTGTGACCATCTCAAGTTCTCAGCGTTGTGAAAAAAGGTTCGACGGTTTCAGATAGTTTCAATGGCCTCATTCTACAGGCTATTTAGGTCTTTCTAGATAGTTGAACAAACCTTTCTTAATTATAATAACCCTGAGCAGGCTCACACCTTCACACTATAAGGACGTTCTGAAGATCTTGAGCTATTCAACTACCACCACTAGTTGAAGCTCAGAAATAATATCTGCTCAAGAATAATGCATTCTGATTCACAAATGGAGGACATTATGATGCCGTCACTTACAGTGGTTATCTGAATGGATGTGTTCCAATCCTTCACAGACATACATACATGACGTCACGATCTCTAAGATTCAAACATGTTCATTCGAGTACCTAAGTATCTGCATGTCTCCACATCCCCAGTACAGTATTCTTCTTTTGGTGAGTCGTTAGAAGTACTCTGCATCAGCGTGGAGCTTCCTTTTGTGATGATGAAACAATCGTTAGCTTCTTAACACATACAAACTCTTTTTACGAGTTGATCACGGATTGACATCAGCTAGAGAACGATTGAAAACCAGAGAGTAGTGGACAGCTGTGTCATCAAACTAGGATGAGACTTTCCAGTCTGGATAATCTTCACCTCTACATACACTCACTACCCAGTAATTAACCTCATCCATCCATCCTCTCTAGGATTATAATATTATCCTACCTGCGAATGAATCTTCAGAACACATTCATTCGATAAAACAAACATATTATCTATCTTCAATCTGATTTCACCCACCCTACTCATCACCGGTTGGTTGCGTAAAACTTCGTGATATGTACAGCGGCGGAAAAAGGGAAACAAACCAGAACTTACAATTTCATCACCTTCCAGTCTTCCTGCCAGATCATTATTATCATTGACTCTGATACAGTCTGACTTGACGCGTTTTCTGGGATTCCCCGGTATAATCCAGTCTGCGCCGAAATCTTTCGGCTTTCGTCTCCGCTTCCTGTTCTCTTCACTATTTGACAGGCCCACCTATACGGAGAAAAAGCAATCACAATCAAAGAAAGCACAAAAACATACATCATACAACTGAATTCGCATGGAAATAACGAAAAGGATTAGAATATCATCTAAGTAGAGTAGTGCAGTTGCGCACAAGATGAAAACTTATACGAAAGAGCTGATTGCCAGTCAATGAGTTTCAACACAAAACTTTGCACAGAAGTGGAGCGGTTCAAGTTGACAAACTCCACGTAGTATACAAAAATAGACAACCTAACCTAGACAGAGAAAAGACTCTCAAAAGCAGAAATGTACGGGAGAAAGACAAGGGAGGAACATGGAGTAACTAGGGGTTTAATCTGCGCGTCGGGACATCAAATCACTAAGAGTGCCTGTGCATCTGTGCCACTCACCACGATTTCCAGTCAAATCACCAATAGTCTCCAAACACCCCAACCAACCAGCCAGCCAGCCTACGCTCACAACTACACCTACACCTACCCCCTATGTGGCTCAAAACAACTCTCAAGGACTTCAGTGCTTGATTCCACGTTTTCACCTGGTCTGATTAACTCCTTTCCAACTCCAACTCTACTTCAGTCAGCTAACATTCCTCGGATGAACTTAAGGATCACTTCGACGGGAAACTGTCCAATGTGCTGCAGAAAGCAAAACGACGTTCAGATATAGTTGTTTTAGCAGGCAACTTCAATGCCCACCCAAGTAGGGAAGTTATGCCAGACTGAGAAGTATATAGGTGGTACATACGGAGTTCACTACCGACGAACCAACAACGGCGGTGATTGTCTTCTACAGTTCTCCTCAGATAGTCATCTGTTTGTTCCCAGTCACCAACAACTCTAGGCACAAACAGAGACACATTGTCTAACCTGGTGACCTCCATCACCAAATCAACATTGGACTCAAATAGACCACATAGCGATAAGGTATCGTTGGAGAGGGTCGGTAGAAGACTGCCACTCCCTCTGGAACATGTGCGCAGACTCTCATCACGCCCTGCCATGGTTCGCGCACGTTTATGCGGTTAAACGGACATAAAAAATTGTTGGCAGAGAAACAGTTACGTCTTCAACTAGATCGAGACACTAAGTCCCTATTTAAGTAATACGGATAGCGAAAAGAGTACCCGAGGTCGACAGCAGGACTCCTCCTGACGAAGCCTGGAACAACATACAGTTAGTTAGCTGTACACACAGATGTCAAAGCTGACAATAACCTAAAACCCAAGGTCAGTAAGACCCATTGGATTTCTACCACCTCATCCGAACTGACTTACTGACTGACTGACACAGAAACATTCATTCCGACGAGCTCCAAATATGATGAGGAGCAAAAGCTGCTGCTCAAGCACAAACTAACAAGAAGTTTTCGCAACGACCGTGAACAGTCGTGCTCAACAAAAGCGACGGAAGGAGATGGAAAAGGCTTCGGCGATTTGTAGCGCAAGACAACAATTTAGACTTATCACAGAAGCAGGTGGCTAAAGGCAAATCATAAGTGGAACAATCTATGACGAAAATGGCACCATAATTAGCTCCCAAGATAGACGACTCGGATGGTGGAAAGAACACTTTAAGCAGGAATTTAGAGAACAATTGTGGTTTCAATAAATTCTTCAGGCTCTACAATTATAAATCCATTAACTTAAGCATACAATAGCCAGCCAGTAAAGACAAGTTAGAATCATATCCGCTTATTTCACCTCTCGTTTGTATCAGCGGGACCACGGCTCTCAGTGACAGTATATGGCCCTTTCCACTTCGGAAGGAGTTTCCATGAACATGGTCTGCATCCAACTGTATACTTTCTTCCTCTACACACTTTACTTCATCGCCGACCTTAAGGCTTATGCATCCCATCTTTTCTCCCAGCTCAGATTTCGCGGCGTCTATCTTCTCTTTACGCTTTACATTCCTGACGGCTTCTTTCCGTTCCGTTCGCAACCACCTCATCATATTCCACTCCTGGTGAACGAAACAGGTAGTACTGTGTATTGGCAGTCTTGCATTCCTACAAAACATCAAATCAAATGGTGACTTCTTTGTTGGTTCCTGGTTGGATAGAAGCACGACGTGCTAGTAAAATCAATGGAAGGAAGATCCGACTCCCAGTTACCACTCTTCGAGGTCAACCACTCCTTCAGTGTACGGTTATTTCTCTCTGTCAAACCATTCGTTTCTGAATGATGATATGGTCTTGTTCTGGTCATCTTGATAGTCAGTTGTTACAAACGGGATGTATATGCGCTTGGCTTTCAAAACAAGGACACTGATCTACCTGCCAGTCAGTATCGTCTTTGGTACACCGTGGTCTGCAACGATGTGTCCAACTACTGCATCAGTCACAGTTCTCGCGCGTTCACCTCGGATCACGGTGGCGTTTACCCATCGTGTAGCGTGTTGCTCCATCACCAGGAGGTACTGATTGCCACTGGGTGTCTGCGGAAACGGACCCACTACGTCTACACACCAGAAGTCGCCTACTGCCGTGAATGGAATCGACTACAGAGGCGGTCGTGTGCACCGATCTTCCTTCATCAACTGGCACTGCGGACATTCAAGTACATATTTCCCCACATCTTCTATCACATCTGGCCAGTACATGCTTTGTCTCAAGAGGTCAGTTGTTCTGGCTACTTCTATATCTGCTGGCTGGTGACATTCTTGTATCACCTCATGGCGTGGAGACTGAGGTATTATCGCCAACCAGCTTCCATCGTTCTCTCGCCAAGTTACAGTTCTGTGAATGTTCACTCTTAATCGATCCCTCTGTCTCAGTAGTATAGCCGGATCCTTACTCGCCGTAGAAGTTGATTCACTTCTATTCCGTTAGTGATCTCCCGTATTACTGTATTCAGGGTAGTGTCCGACTTGTGACTGATAGCATGTCTGAATGCATCTTGTTACAATGCATCCACTCCATAAGCAATCTCCGGTAACTCAGCTTCGTCATCTCGTCTAGATAAGAAATCGGCCAAACAAGTTCCGTTGCTGGGGACGTGTGAGATGATGAAGTCATAATTTCGCAGGCTCAACATCCACCTGGACAAGTCCCCACGTGGGCCTTCCGCCATCCTCAGAAAATCTAGCGACTTGTGATCACTTTAGATGTGCAACTGTTGGCCGAGTCAATACGGTCTCCATTTCACTATGGATAAAATTTCATTTTGATAAAGTCACACAGTGTTATACAGTAATATATACTGATGACGTTTCGAGCACAATTTATTCCTCATAATCATATCAGTGCCCGAGTTTCATCCTTATAACGGTCTGCATTTGTCTACCGCCCATACATACTATTGCTAAACATTCTTTCTCTATCGTTGAATACTTTTGCTCTGTGTGTTAAAATACCACTGACATATTCGACAACTGCTTCACCCTGTCCAAGTACTACGCCTTTCCCATAGTCACTCGCATCTGTGTACACTGTGAACTGTTTTCCCGATACAGGCAGTCTTAGCGTCATTTTCCTGTCGTTTAACAGACGTTTAATACTGTCAAATGTCTTCTGCGAATCTTCCGACCACACAAACTTCAACTCATCATCTAATAGTCTGTACACCGGGTCTGCTATCTTGTTGAAGTTTGCACAAATCGACTATAAAATGCAGCTCTCCCGACGAACTGTCCTAGCATTCTCTTGGAATCCGGGCCCGTAATGGTCTTTATCGACAAGATTTTCTCCGCTAGCGGTTTTATCTCACCGTTCCCCACTCCTCTATCACCCAACACGGTAACACTCCGTTTGGCTATCTGAGATTTTGTCCTGTCGGTGAGCAGTCCAAACTCTTCAATGACTTTTAACACGGCTTCAACATGGCTCACATGATCGCTTTCGTTTTGACTGCAGATGAACAGGTCATCACCGTACACCTCCACATTCTTCAACTTTCTGATCAACAACCTAACGACTCCTCTGAAGGCAAACAGTACACCTGCTAGTCGTCCAAATACCATGTGTTTAAACCGATATTCTTTCTGACCCATGCGATGAACGCCGTCTTATCTCTGTCGCTCTGCTTTATCCGTATCTGACAATATCGTGACCGGAGGTCAAGCACTGTGAAAAATTCGCGCCTTGTATACAATACACGCTATCTACTACAGCTGGCATGCCACACACGGTCTCAGCTCTGTCATGCTGTTTAGCTATCAGAAATCCATGCAGGGTCTCTAATTCCCATCTCCTTTGTTCACTAAAACAACTGGATAGTTATACGGGCTGTCAGCTTCTTTTTCTCTAATACCATCCTGCAAAGTCTCCTCAATTTAAATGTCTCTCTACCTCACACCCATAAATATCACCTCCACGATTTCACGAGTAGTTGAATCGATTGAAAACAATCAAATCAGTCAGTATTTACTCCCTAATAACACATTTAGGCTTAAGCATTTCAAACAAAGAGTACTGGGTACCAGTCACAATGACAACACCACACACAACCACTCACAGGAGATTATTGCAGGTACATCCCGTTGGCAACTCCCGTACCAAAAACATTCAAGTGCCATCCATCAAATTACACACTTTTAAGTCCGGATAATCTTCACCTCTACATACACTCACTACCCAGTAATTAACCTCATCCATCCATCCTCTCTAGGATTATAATATTATCCTACCTGCGAATGAATCTTCAGAATACATTCATTCGATAAAACAAACATATTATCTATCTTCAATCTGATTTCACCCACCCTACTCATCACCGGTTGGTTGCGTAAAACTTCGTGATATGTACAGCGGCGGAAAAAGGGAAACAAACCAGAACTTACAATTTCATCACCTTTCAGTCTTCCTGCCAGATCATTATTATCATTGACTCTGATACAGTCTGACTTGACGCGTTTTCTGGGATTCCCCGGTATAATCCAGTCTGCGCCGAAATCTTTCGGCTTTCGTCTCCGCTTCCTGTTCTCTTCACTATTTGACGGGCCCACCTATATGGAGAAAAAGCAATCACAATCAAAGAAAGCACAAACACATACATCACACAACTTAATTCACGTGTAAATATAATTATTTAGAGAATGATTATTTTATTATTTTTGTTAGCACTCCGTCTCTAATTACATGTCATCTTTTTAAAATAATTTTATTCTAATTGCCACTTCAGTTTCACTTAGAAGTTATCATTGTGGAAAGCGGTTTGCTTTCTTGGAGAATCTGTTATGTAATAAACCTGTGCATACGCTTGTTTCTTACTTAGTCGGGATTTTTCCAAAATCATGCATTACGTAATCCATGTGTTGCAAGGATTTCTACATTTAAAAAGTATGCATTAATTTACTTCGTTAATTATCACCCCATTGACACGTTGATACTGCCTAGTGATTGTTAACAAACATACTAGTGCCGCTTGATTGGTAAATTGTTGTGTATTCTAATAAAGATGCTATCTATACATATATTAGAGTACAGCCAGATATCAGTATCTAATTGAACGGTAATTATTTCTTTGCTCAATGCTTCTGCTTTCCAAACATAGAATTTGGTAGAGTCCAGTCATTGATTACCCAAATATACAAGAAAGGAAGACAAGTACTGCTGTGATAATCACACGGCGATTAACGTGACTAATATGGTGGCATCTAAAGTTCTACGCTCAATAATAATGCCTCCAATACTAAGTGGTGCTCTGGAGGCACAAACACGAGAGAATCAGAGTGGGTTTAGACCAGGAAGAGGGTGTATTGATCAGATCTTCACCCTCAGACAGATTCTGGAACAGAACATAGGCATACTTACTGTTGGCATCCAACAATGGGCATATTTCTTGACCTGAAATAAGCATTCGAATCCGTTGACCAAGATGTACCATGCCGATGTTTGGCTGTGAAGGAAATACTGAGAAAATACGCCGCACTGATCTAGGCACTCATTCTACTCGAACTCATGCAGTCAGCCAGGTAACAGCCTATGGAGATTTGTCATCTGATAACTGTGGTGACAACCACTGATGTCACCAACCATCAGGGATGCCAACTTCTGTTTAATTCTACATCATACAGGTACTAATGGAATTAACCCTAACTGACTTCAGAGACTCAGACATTGACTTGTTACCAGGGGATAATATCACCGACTTAGAATATGCAGATGACGAAGTCCTGCTCCTAGGTGAAGGCGATGACAAAATACAGCAGAGTCTTCTGAACACCTTGAGGTGCAATCTACGAATGTTTGCCATGCGATTCGCTCCCGCTGTCAAATGTAAGATGATGTTACAGGACTGGACTACACTGACTCCTACCTTAAAGATAGGGAGTGAAGTGGTTGGTGGAGTGTGTTGACCACCTCTTAGTCGTGGCATAACCAAAACGTGGCTTCATCAGTCAATGAAATCCACAACAGTTAGTTTAAGCCAGCCAGCCAGCCAGTCACGTAGGAAGGTGTAGACTGGCTTCCTGACTGGTTTTAGTTCTCGGGATGGTAAAAACCAATGGCTCGAGACAATTGGTAATATGGTCAAACATCGTTTTCAATGACGCAGATGCATTTACTCCTTGTGACTTATAATATTCAACAAAACTATAAGGTTCCTCGATATTACTATTCTTTTCTGCCTCATATCTCTGTTTACTGTCTCTGTTTTTGCACTCCTTTTTACTGTCTTCTCTTGCTTTGTGTGCTGAATGTAGTGTGGAGACTCGAACTGCTGCACATCGGTGCAAAGTTCTACGTTGAAACCAGTCAGTCTATATTTCGGCATACATACACACACACACACACACAATCATGCCTATCCAGGTCTAGACGTCTTTCATTCTGGACTAAATCGAATGCTTCGGAATTAGTAATTCCCAAGAAGATATTGCACTCAAACATGTTTTTAGTGTGAAAAATAGACGCACACTCAATCGGGAACCGAATGCATTCAGTGAAGACAACCCCCCTCTTTGGAAAGGCAGAAAGACTGAATCTATCTACTGAACACACAAATTAACCACCACTTCATGTCTCTCTCCCTCTACGTAAGAATCCTAGTGGAACTTACATTTAACGCAATACACTACTGAATAATGAATTAAGTATCTTGTGAATGGGTCTCTTACTTTCCAGTCAGTCCCATTAGGAAAAATTCTCACATCAATTATGTTTACCGCACTGAAACACCACCTGTGTGTGTAAATCTTTATTGTGATTATTATTATTATTATTATTATAAAGGAGGAAATGGCCAATCAGTGCGCTCTAAAGGATAGGCTATTCGTTCGAAAAACATGATTAAGGTATTCCCATATTTACACCATTCACGTCTCCACATAATCATCATATATTATTAAAGAGTGACCCGACGTAACCTTCTCCATCACATCACCATCATTAATACACATTCATGACATACGTTCCATCCTCACCTACTTTACCACCAAGACCCACTCTACAACTCGCCTCTAAGAAACACGTGTACATCAAGCTACCCTATATGGGCGAGGCATCATAGCAGCTTGATAACTAGACAAAGACTGAACGCTGCTGTTAAAAAGACTTTTTATGCAGCTAATATCATAATAATTGAGAATGTGAAGCCAATATATCCATTCATCTAAGCCCTTTGAACATGCGAAAAATGATATCACATCACACTGTATTTACCAATTTCAATGTTCGTGTGGCCACACACACACACACACACAAACATACATAAGGAGGACTCATTGATCTCTGCAAGTAAGGACTGGCTTCAGATCATATCCCTGAATGACTACAGAAACAAATGGAATCTTCCGAACCCATTAATGGTGAGAACAGGAGAACTAGATCCTCTATTGCGAAACATATTACACAGGAGACAGGACATAAAATTGACGTTAACACATCATTTAAACCTATCTATAAACGCGTGTTTGGGTGACGGCGTATCCTAAAGTTTGTGGAAGCCCCAGCTGGTAGTTAGAAAGTTTAAACCACCTTTATGCGTTCAAAGCAGCAATTCGTCATCACATTAAACCTTCCTTGGTAAACTTTGTTTTGATACCATAGCAGATGTACTATTACCTCTGCTATTTGGTTTAGCCATTCATCTTCATTCTTATTTTGATATTCAATATGTCCTCCTTTTAACTTGACCTAAGTAGTCTATTTTCTCACCCACCTCTTAACTCTTTATTATTTCCACAAATGTCTATTCCTATGACAAGTCTGTGTGTGATCAGATTGTTCGAAATGTGTTGCGCAAATATGCACATTACACACACGATTCAGCCAAATTACGTCTTCTTACTGCTTTATCTGGACTTATTCTTCGCTTAAATCGGAGGCACAATTATGACACAACGGGTTGCTGAAAGCCTTCAGGAAGCCAGTCAACCAGTCTGTGGGCCAACAAATACCCTGATGACACTGTTCAGTTGACCAGCCCGATCTACACATGGGAAGGGACTTTGAAACCTGCATCTAGTGGCTAGAAGTCGGGTGCTTAAGTAATTAAGTCACATCTTCCCGAAGGAGATAAAACCATTTCACATCAGAGTATGAAATCTGATGTGGAATAAACAATTAAGCGATAGGAGAAATACAACTTCCACAAAATATGCTCAACAATAAGAGAAATATATTCAACTCACATTTGTCCTTAAGACCTCAGAATCACAATGCGGCGATACCAATGGATCAACATGATTGCTGGGTAGAAGCTTTTGAGATCTCAAGTTTTTCACCTCCGTCTCATTGATGGACACTTGACGTCTTCGTAAGCTAGTGAAAATGTTTAATGATAATATACACACACATCACAATTATAATTCACGATTACATCATCGGCTGAAAATCATGCCAAAATTGTATAATAAAACAAAGTGAGGAAAACACGAGAGAAATACATTCATATTCTAATTTATAATGTCCTTCAGGACAGTTCTGTCTAGGGGGACGACAATTCTTCAGCAGTACACATCCATAACCCCACCGAGGACTGACTGCATGCACAACCTCCAGACTACGAAGCCAGCTCGTTGGTCAGACCATTCGGTCACTGACTAGGCAAGGAATCCAATGGTCCATGAATTCTAACTTCTTCTGTTCATTCACTATTTTTTCAACCAACTGATCGATCTCAATCCGTTATCCAAATTGACACCAATGAAATCTTCACAAATTAACACTTCACTCCACAATCCGCTCCGTCCTCCTTTATGGCTGGCTGGCTGGCTGGCTCTGAGACATGGCCATTGAAAGTGGAAGACATGGACAGGTTGCCTAGCTCTGTCTTTGATCAGAGGTGTCTGTGTTCTATCTCCCATGTTAAGTGGCATAACAACGTGAGCAATATTGAGGCTAGCCGTTGATTATTAATTAGGTGAGGAGGGGAAATCAATTGGTGACGTGGTGTGAAGTTACATCAATTGATGTGGTTAGGACATGTGTTGCGCGCATGCATCCCTAGCCACAACAGTTAGTTTAAGCCAGCCAGTCGTGTAGGAAGGTACATACTTCCCGGTTTGAGTCCTCAAGATAGTAAAAACCAATGGCTGGAGACAATCGCTAGCATGGCTTAAAATCGTTCCCAATGGCGCAGATGCATTTACTCCTTGTGATTCATAATATCCTATAAAAATCTACTGTTCTTTCATATTGCCTACCATTCTTCTTCCCTCACACTTCTGTTTATTATCACTCCTTAATCTCTTGTCTTGCTTTGTATGATACGTGGAGTGTGGCAACTCGAACGACTGCACATCTGTGCAAAGGAGTTCTACGTTCAAACCAGTCGGTCAGTCAGTCAGTCAGTCAGTCGACACTTCGGAGTGAAAATTAACAATTTGACAGGAGCAAGAGAATCTTCAGAGCAGCAGAATATTTTATTTATTTCACCTGTACACTCATTGGTCGAGTATGCTCGCCTAATTATATGCAATAATATCATGTCATCGTAAAATATCATCACGCACATGTTAATCAATCAGTAGTGCATTGATGTCTACAAAAGTCAGTCAATGAAATCTTTACAATTTGAACCCCACCTAGGAACTCAAACACAACACACATTTGCACCAAAACAAAAGTTTCTATATATACACACAAACACCGAACCAGTGGCAGTACTTTATCTGACCCAAGGTAGTCATTATATCACAGTGTTAACGTCAAATAATGGTAACATGAAAGATATTTATCTATCAATGGGGAAGGCAAACAAAATAATCTCACCGATAAACTTCATTTGTAGTACGGCAGAAAATCTCATATGGACTTTCAGGATCACTCAGGTGAGCCCGGATAACACAATTACCCCAATAAGCATTATCATTCTTTATTTGAGCACTAACCTAGTGTACGAAATGAAAAGGGACAAAAAAGAGAAAGAGAAAAAGTTGTCATGTGAAAATAACCCCTTCGTAAGTAAACAAGTGCAAGCGGCAAAAACAGATCAGACCACATATCAAACATATCAAAGTCAATGGCAACTACTTTGAGGCTTGTAAAAACACGACTCCCTTACAACTTCTCAACAATAATCTGCAACTGTGAATTCAACAAAAAAGGCAAGGAAGCTTGAAAAATACCCACCTACAACGTGACATGCATACACAAGCAGATTTACAACTAGGTGAAATGCACAGTCAGTCAGTAAGTCAGCTGTATGGGGCGAGGTATGAGTCATGAATCAATACAAATTATCCAAAGAATAAAAGGAACACTACAAATTGACGATTCCATGTAGACGACGAAATGGAGGGAACACGCGCTGCGCTGGCAAACACTGTGTGCCTCAGACTTCAGTTCATTGCAACTTCATCATATTCATCCTTCCATTATGTGGTAGTGGTGGTGGTGGTGCATAACACGAGTATAATAATCCTCTTATGCATATAATCAAACAGTGCTTACGTGAAGACCACATGTGTGTGTTTGTGAAATGGAAACTGCAAACTCACCTAACTGACAGCAGTCAAAAGCCCTCCCGACTACTAACGCAGCCTGCTGGTAATGAAGAGAGTAGTATTACTAATACCACCTGTCAAGCAGCCACTACACCGATTAACAACTGAAAAACGTGTCTGAAACGCTGATCAAACCATTATCATCGAAGTAGCCACGCTGATCTTAAGGGATAGTCATAGTTACTCTCAACCTAAGTCCTCTTTATAAAGCTGTCATCCACCCGAATTACAAAGCGGAGGCCCAGAAAGGAATTCCAACCACTCAAGAGCTATTAACCACCAAACCAAGACAACTCATCGCCTGCATCACTTGCTACATGGGAAAAGCAAATGTGGTAGAATACATAGATACTATGAAGAGTATTCTAAGCACCTAGCGCAGACATTTTAGTATATTCGGCATGTGATTCGTCTCTGAGAAATTTAAGATAACCAACGTTGCGGGACTGGTCTCCACCAATCGGGGTCTAACGATATTTTATCACACAAATACCCGTTCACACTGAGTCGTATTGGCTGGAGCAACATAACTAGCGATTATGTGAGGTTAGGCATGGAGGATTACGTAAGGGAGCGAAAACCAATTGATGACGAAGCTACATTGATTGAGATGGATAGGCGTATCATCATGCTGCCAAGTCATTGCCTTCATAGTCCGACAACATCAGTTGAAATGGGATTACGCGTTAGAAAACAGTTTGGCATGGTCAAATCAAACCGATGCATCAATCCATGAAGACGACTTCAACTACTAGCTTGAGTCAGGCAGTATGATGCAGATTGTCAGGCAGAGGTCCTGCTAACTCCCTCTGCACAAAGATCATTAATTCGAAAATTCAGTCAGTCACCAGTGATAACGCTCTTATTATTTATCTGCTTCAATCAAGTCATTCTTAACAACCACTATACTGCTTGCTCCTGTCAAATTTTCAAATGTAACACCACTGTAGGACGGAGAGTGCAATAAAACTCATTCATCTCAATGTATTGCCCGTTTGAAAAGAAATCTCTGTGTGTTTCTGGAACATGTTCAAAGCAGTTGGTGGCCAAAAGGTCAAGTGTACTGCATGTTTTATGCTAACTTCTTCAGGCATAAAAGTGCAGATGACAACTGCGCCATCAATACTCTTTACTCTCTATTTTTACTCAAACTTTTCTCTTGTAACTTTCAACAACACGCAACTTAACAAGATATCTTTCTTCATTTGCTTCAAGTCAATTTCGATTTCCCCGTTGATTGGATATACATTTCATCCTACTTCGGACTACTCACTAGCCAGATACACCTGAAATTCCCAGTGAGTGATGATGACCCAATTAGAAGTCGAACACATTACCACTAGACTAGAAACAAATAATAACTAATTCCCCCATTGCACAAGAGGTGGCGGCTGTCCTGACTACCAAAGTGGTCTAGCGAATGACGCTTTGGTGTTTCAAACGATGGGTGCTGGCTTCGAGTCTCACCGGGAACACCGCCACCACCACTCACTGGGGAATGCAGATACATCCAGATGAATAATTCCAAATAGAACGACCAAATGTGCATCCCAGCGGATTCCACCGAATCAATTTAACACAGGATTTTCTACACCTATAGTTTCAATGAATACAAAACCATTTCCTCTCAAGATATAAAATCAGTAAGTTTGTCATGAAATCAATTAACACTGAGAAAATTTGATTCTACGATATGTAAAATTGCAAATCTTTGTCACTGAAAGTCACTGAACATATTAAGACGGGTCCGTCCATATGAGGAAATTAAGAAGCCTGTAGATACCACAATGAATAAGGTTAAGAAATCTACAGCGGAATTAATACGCAGAATGAAGCTGTCACTGGGTGAGTCTAAATGGTTTAATTTAATGCCTAAAACTAATAATGCTAGCAGAATATATGGTACTATTGAAATACACAAGCCAGGTGATCCCATACCACCAATAATAGATTTCAGGAATACCCCTACTTATGAATTATCAAAACACTGAGCTCTGATATTATGTCCCATTAGAAATCGTTCAAACTCTAGACTAACTAACTAATTCATATGAGATGAAAAGTAAACTAAATAAATGATATTCAACTATAGAATGATAAGACAATGGTTAGTTTCGATATAACTAGTCTTTATACTAATATACCAATCAATATGCCCGCCTTAGAAGCAGCTAAAAAAGAACTAACTGCAGATCCTGAACTCACTCACTCATAGGACAAAGCTGCCCATTGAAGAAATTATTTTAGCAATTCAGTTATGCCTCACATCTACTATCTTTAAATTTCAAGGCAAAATATATAGACAAACAGAAGGTGTAGCAATGGGATGCATCACCAATATCCCTTGTCATAGCAGATATATTTTTGGACAGTTGGGAAAATATGACTCTTAATACATTCACCTAATCCTACTCCAAAAATATGGTGGAGATATGTAGATGACACTTTCACACACAGTGTTAAAAACACAACATATCTCTCTCTAGCTTCTTGACACATATAAACTCACTAGCAGAGGGAATAAAATTCACATTTGAATCGCAAAATAAACAAGGAGAATTAGCTGTGATGTTAGAGTGTAAAATAAAACGAATAGAAGAGGCTAAACTGCACACAAGTGTTTATAAAACACCAACGCATTCTGCTGATAAACTTTAATTCATCTCATCCGTAGTTATCTGTTAAGGCAGGCTTAGTTGACTTAAATGTCTAACAAACCGAGCAGTAGCACCAACTAGTACAAGAAAAGACCTAAATGATGAAATAAAACAGACAGAAGAAGAAGAAGTAGCGTTGGTGTCAAATAACTAACTA